AGTCTTATGCTTATCTATAAGGTAGTGTGCTCCAGAAGAGTGACAAAATTTGCATTTATAAGATGCATTCAGAATTTACAGTCTCTCTGCCACCAATCAAACAACCCAAATCTAGTTAGTCTGGGTGCGTGAGTGGAGTACTGGTTTGAGTTATCTTCGCACAATCATCTTGAATGTCTGAAAATTGCTTGAATGTTTATATTAGCAAGATGTAAGGGAATAGTTCACCCAAAAATAAAATGTTCATGATTATTTACTCACCCTCAGGCCATCCAAGATTTATGTGACTTTCTTTCTTTAGCTGAACAGAGGAAAACATTCCAGGGTTTTTCTCCTTTTAATGCAAGTAAACGGGGCTCAGCCTAGACGGTTTTTGGCAGCCTGAAATCCATTTCTTGGGAAACTTCAAAGTAATCCACATGAACCCAGCCAACAAATAAGGGTCTTCTCTAGCAAAACAATCAGGCATTTCCTGAAAAATATCTACTGTAGTCAATTTAGTTCACAACCTCTTGTGAAAACCAAAAAGAAAGTCTAATACATCTTGGATGTCCTTTGGGTAAGGAAATTATTTTTGGGTGAACTGTTCCTTTAAGAACACAAGCAAATTATACACATCTAACACCGTAACAACGACCCAACGTTCTCTTTTCAGAGCTTACTTGTGTTTTAATCTGCACTGACTGCACCTACTTCTTCTCCTTTGGTTTGATTTACTGTTACATTGGATATTTTAACATATTTCTCTGTTTTTATGCCAAGGTGGCAGAGGTGGTCCAGTTCATCTTAATTAAAGACCAAAAAAAAAAATACCCATTCGAAGAGCAGGTTTGTCTTCAATGGTCAATGAATTACTCTTCATTAGATCCCTATTATATCACTGCTTTATAGATAAATAATTATTCATAATAGAAAATTATATTTACGTTGTATATATTCATTTAATACATTGTGTTCACTCTCTTCTGACTGATTTCTGCAGATATTGGCAAACATGTAATAAAGGAGTACAAAGCCATCCATATAGAAATCATGAACAGAGTTTGCCGCACATTTGAGCAGGTACAGCAGATGGAGCATACGGTGACTAAACGGCCTTTCATAGATGTGAATTTGAACAGAGGTGAACTTCTGTGTTTGATGCAGGTGTTTGGATTAAAGCTGGTGGAGATTGGCCCCAAAAACCTTTCTTCACACCAAGCTGCTTCCCTATTGCAGATTCAGTCTTCCCAGCCTGGTGGAGGTCTACAATTTTGGTCTTGGCCATGGTGGAGTTTGGCGTGTGACTGTTTGAGGTTGTGGACAGGTGTCTTTTATACTGATAACAAGTTCAAACAGATGCCATTAATACAGGTAACGAGTGGAGGACAGAGGAGCCTCTTAAAGAAGTTGTTACAGGTCTGTGAGAGCCAGAAATCTTGCTTGTTTGTAGGTGACCAAATACTTATTTTACCGAGGAATTTACCAATTAATTCTTTAAAAATCCTACAATGTGATTTTCTGGATTTTTTTCTTCTCATTTTGTCTCTCATAGTTGAGGTATACCTATGATGAAAATTACAGGCCTCTCTCATCTTTTTAAGTGGGAGAACTTGCACAATTGGTGGCTGACTAAATACTTTTTTGCCCCACTGTATATCCTGATCAATAAGCTGGAGCCCATTCATGGAGAGCCAGTGAGCATGTAAGTAACACACACTTTGGTTACACTCTACTATAACACACTTCCAGTCTGCTTATTTTGTCTAGTCTGAGTTTGTTTAACGACAGTGTGCTGTTAAGAGGTTGTTTCTCTATTGCTTACGCCTGTTTCATATATAATAAATGCGCATATTCATTTTTGGCGACTGGGACCATTCTTGACCAATTCTGAGATAATAGACAGACTGACTGACTAGCTTGAGGCTGAAATATGAATCAGTAATTGTTTTTGTGAGATTCACACCTGCAGTAGTTTTGCTGTCTTGGGTATATTGTTTCTTCTGTCCACACAGGCGTCCTGGAAACCAAAAGACAGGTTTGCTGTTTGTCATTCTGAGTGTCATCTTCATGAAGGGCGGTGTCATTAAAGAGAGTGAGTGGTGCGCCATGCACACAGTCATGTTACGCCGTTACTGATCAGTTTCTGTGGGTGGTTTGTTATTAATGTGTTGTCCATGAATGCTGTAGATCTGGTGTGGAATACACTCAAGAAGCTGCGGGTGGATCCAGGGTTTGTGCACTAGATCCTTTTGAAAAAAAACAAATTTAGATTTTTATTTATTTATTTTTCACTTCTGATACCTCTGTCTTCTCACAGGGAAAAGCATGATGAGTTTGGTGATGTAAAGAAGATGGTCACAGATGAGTTTGTACGGCAGAAGTAAGTGAAAATGTCTTTCAGAAACAAAATTATTGGCTTTCTATAACTAGTGCAGTGTAACACCTGCTGTTTTGATCCATGCCCTGACTTTGAATAATTCAAGTTTATTTGTATAGCTCACTAATGGTTTATGCTGTGTTAGATTAGGCTGTAAGAACAGCGACTGATGCACTCAGAGGTTGTGGGTTTGGGTCCGACAGGGCTCTATGCTTACTTTTCTTTTTAGGAGCACTTGTGCTCCTAACTGAAAAAATTTAGGAGCACGTTCAAAATTTTAGGAGCACCTTCTAATCAATAATCCAAAATTTTATCAAAAAGTAGCCTTCCCATTACGAGGTGATATTTGACTCCTCTAACTTTATTAAAAGTATGTCATCTTTTGTCAAATTCTTTAAAAAAAATTACATTTTATAAGCTTTTTAAAAATTGTAATTAAAACGACAGAATAAGAAACATAAGTTAAAAATCTAATGAAATCAGTATTAACAAAATGAATTTGTAGAGGTGGCACAGAAGAACACAAAAGTGGCTTGATGTACTTTCAGACATTTAATGAGGCTCAGAAGTGGAATGAGTGCAATTAAATCCATGATGATATTAATGTTTTAAATATAACATTTTGAATATAGAAATATTAAATGATTTAAATAACTGAAAAGATACTTTAAAAATTAAACTAAAACTGCCAGCAGGTGGCAGCAAGTCACTGATTTTTATCACTGAATCATTCATTCAATTGATTCATTCGAACGGCTGATTCATTCAAGAATGAATCAAGTGACAGTATTTATGAATGGGTAATCATGAATCACTGACTCACTAGATTCGTTTAAAAAACCCCGTTCATTCATAAACGAAACACCGCTGTGTTTGAAATGGAGATGCGCAGCGGCTCCTCTGTGTCTTTGTTTTAAACTATTTTCGACGACGAAATAGAGCAAAATCAGACAATAGTGTTATAGTCAGTCAATGTAAGTCACTTATTATTAACTTCTTGTTTATTGAATTGTATTGTATTAAATCAGTTATCGCATTTACAAACTCCCTAAAAAATAATTAAAAGCTGTCACTCATCTTAGTTCATCTCGATGTCACATTTATAATCAAGGAAGCTCTCTACACTGCACAATGTATCTCTTATTTACACCCTGTCTACACTTTGCTTATGAAAGGATTCGTGAGATATGTGTGATATATTACTCAACGCTGCAAAAACACGTAGAAACCTTTGAAGCTCCCCTGAGCGCAACCACAAGTATGATGATGATCGGGTCAGTCACACTGGTGCTCCTAAAAAAATGTCATAGTCGCACACAGTAGATTTCAGTCGCAAATGCGACTGAAATGGTCGCACTGTCGAGCCCTGTCGCAGCAGATTTGGTGTGTTCAGAGCTGCTGTTCTTTAGACCATGGACCGGTGGTTTATATCACACCATAAACAATGAAGGGGTCTAGTGGAATGAAGACAGAAAGATTCATGTCCTTCATCAGATGACTCCTGACATACTTCTTGGACCACTGAACCTTTTTTTTTTTTTATACTAAAAGCATTTTGTTTTTCATATGTCTGATTTAGATATTTAGAGTATGTGAAGATCCCTCACACAGAGCCGGTGGGGTATGAGTTTCGCTGGGGTCTGCGGGCAGAGAAGGAGGTGTTCAAACTTAAGCTGCTGGAGTTTGTTGGAGAGGTTTGTGCATTTTTATTTCTGTTGCATTCACCAATACAATTAACCAACATTTCAGTTACAGTCATTATAAATGTAATTAAATGTGCATTGATCAATCTTTGATTACAAACCCACACAACCACCCTTGATTAATATACTAATAATCCAGCTATTATCTAGCATGTTCTTACCTCTTGAAAGTCTGTAATCTCTTCTTTAATGTGCACATTTGATAAATAAATGCAAAACAGAGATATCATATTGTCAGGATAGATTTTGACATATTGTCAGGGTCTAAGCACAAACGACTCGTGCAGACAATACAGTTATACAGCAGCTCTTTTCAAATATAATACGAGTCTTTAAGGCTACGTTCAGACTGCAGGAAAATTTGTTTTTCATGACCGTGTGAACAGCACAAATCACATGGAATCTGATCTTTTTTTTAATTCAGATTTTCCATATGTGGTCTTAAATCTGATACAGGACAGATGTTTTGCAATGCATCCTCAATCTGAACAGTCATATCGATGTATTCTAGATCAGGGGTGTCCAAACTCAGTCCTGGAGGGACCTGTTCTGCAGAGTTTAGCTCCAGCTTGCCTCAACACACCTGCCTGGAAGTTTCTAGTGTCTAGTAAGACCTTGTTTAGCCGGTTCAGCTGTGTTTAATTTGGGTTAGAGCTAATGGGTTATCCTAATTCTGTGCTGACGGGAGTCACTCCAAAGATTTTACAACTGGGAGTTCTTTGACTATCTCTGCAGCTTTCTGTCGTATTCACAGAGTGATTAGTGGAGAGACGGTGAGGTGTTGTCTTACGGTTTAATATAGTGACAGCTCTATACAAGCTAAACTTAAGGGTTCAAATTAAAAATATAAAAAAAACTTTGCACTCATCTTCATCCTTGACCTGCTCACGAATTCTCTGGCTTTTGCAGCACATCACTTTTTTAATGAAGCACACCTGCCTGGAAGTTTCTAGTGTCTAGTAAGACCTTGTTTAGCCGGTTCAGCTGTGTTTAATTTGGGTTAGAGCTAATGGGTTATCCTAATTCTGTGCTGACGGGAGTCACTCCAAAGATTTTACAACTGGGAGTTCTTTGACTATCTCTGCAGCTTTCTGTCGTATTCACAGAGTGATTAGTGGAGAGACGGTGAGGTGTTGTCTTACGGTTTAATATAGTGACAGCTCTATACAAGCTAAACTTAAGGGTTCAAATTAAAAATATAAAAAAAACTTTGCACTCATCTTCGTCCTTGACCTGCTCACGAATTCTCTGGCTTTTGCAGCACATCACTTTTTTAATGAACTTCAGTTCCCTTTCAAGGGAACTTCGAACTGCGTCCTCTAGGGGTAGCTATGGGGGAACGCCTCGTCGTGCCCCGTGTCTGAAGCATACATTGAAAAAACACCAACAACACGTTGGCCGGCGAAAGCCATAACGTCACTACCGGTGCGACTATAGTATAAATAGGCGCCGGAAGAACACATGACTATGACTCTTCGTCTTCACTGACTGTTTTGTTTGAAGAGTGCATTTCCGTGGTAAGAGCGATCTCTATTCATTCATTATGGTGAGCACTAGCAAAGCGTTTAGAGCAGCGGTGGGCAAACTTGGCCCTTCCAGGCCACTTTCCTTCGGAGGTTAGCTCCAACCCTAATCAAACACACCTGAACAAGCTAGTCATTGTCTTCAAGACTACTAGAAGGCTACAGGCAGGTGAGTCATATCAGAGTTGGATCAAATATCTGCAGGAAAGTGGCCTGGAAGGGCCAAGTTTGCCCATCACTGGTTTAGAGGATGTGTGCATCCGTGTCATTGTTATTTGACACCCGATGACACACACGATCTATGCGTTGTTTGTTTGGGCGAAGAGAGGGGCAATGTGCGTGCACTGCGAGCGTTTTTCAATGGAAAAAGCTCCACTCTCGTTTGTCTCTCTTGTAGCTTGCTTTTATATTTACATAACAAAATTCAACAACACTAACATGCTGTTAACACAAACTTACAACAAACACAAAATACATTCACAAACAAATAATCAATCAGAAAAGGTAAATAAATAAATATAAATATGTATATATACACAGTATACATATACACATACCAATTTCACAGAAATACTGAGCAAAGGGTCTGAATACTTAGGACCATGTGATATTTCTGTTTTTTTTATTTTTTACAAAATAAAATAAAGTTTAAGGTCTCCTAGTACAAGACAATTTCAACATTTCTTTTATTATATGTCTTCAAATATCCCATCAAATACATCTCCATTATTTTCTCCTTCCAAGAAAATCATAAAGGGTTTCCAAGCATCCTCAAAAGCCTTATATCTGCTCTTAATAATATATGTTATTTTCTCCAATGACATGTTTGTTGCCAACTTCTTTAACCATCTCCCTATACTTGTTTCAGGTGCCTCTACCTTTTTCCAATGAAGAGCTATGAGACGTTTAGCTTGTAGAGTACACATATAAACAAAAATATGTTCTCTTCTTCTCAATTTAAAGTTATTAGGATACAAATTTAATATAAAAACTTTTGGTTCAAATTATTTTACTTATCAAATTTTGCACTCCCTTCCAAAACTTCAAGATTTCTTCACACTCCCATACACAATAAAAGAAAGTACCTTTAAATAAATTACATTTAGGCCATATGTCTATGATATTTTCATTAAATTTGTTTAATAATACTGGAGTTACATACACTCGCATTAGCCAATTATATTGTAGCAGTTTCAATCTTGTATTAATAGTTTGCATCTGAGCATCTCTGCAGGCCTCTCTCCAATCATCTATTGAAATCTCCTCATTGAGGTCCTTCCTCCATGCCTCTAAACGAGAGTTTGCAGACTCCTGAGATCCTTCTACAAACATGTTATATAAAAGTGAAATCAAACCTTTACTATTACAATTTTTGGTCATTTCCTTTGCCAAAATGGATAAAGGGGGTATATTAATAAAACATTTATGAAATGACAAAATAAAACTCCTTACTTGTAAATACCTAAAAAACTGATTTCTAGACATATCAAATTTGGTAATCGCCTCTTGAAAGGACATCAATCTATCTTCCACATATAAATCCTTTATATTTTTAATTCCCTTTTCTGCCCATAATTTAAAACCTACATCTGTTCTTCCCAGAATACATTTTGTATTTCTCCATATAGGGCAATAACGAGATAATGAATTTGTGTATGAAATATTCAAATATCTCTGTGTTTCATCCCACACCCTTACCATGTTTAAGACTATTGGATTAGTCACATTTTCTTTCATTTTCTTTAATACTTTGCGATCTGAATCATATAAGTACGTTTACAGGGATAGATCTGATTTGATTGATTTGTTTTTTTCTAATTCTAGCCAAGTAGGTGGGTCTTGAAAAGAAAAACATAATAAATCTTAATTGAGCAGACAAATAATGCTATTGAAAATTAGGGCAATGAAGTCCTCCTCTATCATAAGGCAGATATAAAAGGGATAGCCTAAGTCTTGATCTTCTATTATTCCATATGAATTTAGTAACAAGTTTCTTGAGTCTAGAAAATAATGAGCTTGGAGGTGCTAGAGGGATATTTTGAAATGAAATGTATAAGAATTTAGGCAATATATAAATTTTTAGTATATTTATTTTCCTATTACAAATATGGGTAGTGAGGTCCATCGTTCAATTGACTTTGCTACCTTATCAAAAACAGATTCATAATTTGTTATAACCACATCTTCCATCTTTGAGACAATTTTAATACCCAAATATGTTAAGACACTGGATGTTTTAAACATGTTAATGTTATTTGTAGAATTATTTCTGTCTTCCTCATTCAATATCATTATAGAAGATTTTTAATTATTAATCCGATACCCTGATATTTTCCCAAATATCTCGATTAGATTAAATAGAGCTGGAATAGATATATCTAACTTCTTTAAAAATAATATAACAGCATCTGCAAAAATAGCTATTTTGTGTTAAAAACCGGCGATTGTTATTCCTTCTATATCTTTATTTCTTCTAACTGCAATTGCAAATGGTTCGATGGCTAAAAGAAAAAGCAGAGGAGAAAGAGGAGAGCCCTGTCTACAACCTCGAACAAACGTCGAACAAAAAATCCCATTCGACTCTGTCGAATGCTTTCTCCGCATCTAATGAAAGCAAAGCAGTGTCTTTTCTTCCCCTCTGATCATGCAAAATATTCAGTACCCTTCTAACATTGACATCCTTGTCTATGCAACATAAAACCATTTTGATAATTCCCTACTAAATTTGGTAATACGTTTTCTAACCTTCTTGCCAAAATTTTACTTAGAATTTTTGTATCTGAATTTAGTAAACTTACAGGGCGCATATTTTCACATTTATTATTAGGCTTTCCTGGTTTAGGAAGCAAAGTAATTAAAGCCTCACTCATAGATAAAGGCAGCGTATTCTTTTCAAAAGCTTCCAATAACATCTCTAAAATGGATCTTATTAATTTATCTTTAAATTTATTATATATGTCTATAGGGATACCATCTGGCCCTGCTGCTTTTCCAACCTTCGTTAACTCGATGGCGTCAATAACTTCGTGCAAACTTATATCTTTTCCTAAATATTTTTTTTGTTCATCTGATGTACATGGTAAATCCAAATTATCTAAGAATTTTTTTTGCACTTCAGAGCCTGATGAACATTCCGAACTATATCATTTCACATAATAAGATCTGAACGATTCGTTTATTTGCCGTGGTTCAACTATATTACTACCGTCAGTATTTTCTATGTAAGCAATAGCTCTTTCAGCTTGCCTAGTTTTTATCTGCCATGCAAGTACCTTTCCTGTCTTTTCTCCTTGATCATAAAAAGTCTGTTTCAATTTCAATAGCTTTGTAGCCATTTTTTTTGCTGATAATGTATTGTACTTTGAACGAAGCAACAAGAGTTGCTTATGCAAATCTGAAGACACCAAACCTTTCTGATAAATCTCATTTTCCAGCTTTTTAATCTTCATATCCAATGTTTTCAATTGTTGAGATTTTTTTATTTTTTTAACTACAAAAACTGATAATTTGTCCCCGCAAAAAAGCTTTAAATGCCTCCCAACGAACCCCCGCCGACGTTTCAGATAGGTTTGTTTCAAAGTAAATATCTATTTGTTTACCCGGAAAAAACACTTTAAAACCCTCCCAACAAACCCCCGCCGACGTTTCAGATAGGTTTGTTTCAAAGTAAATATCTATTTGTTTACCTAAAAAGTCAACAAATGATGGATCTTCCAACCACCCTGTTTGAAAGCGCCATTTTGGAGGGTTTGTAACCAAGTCTGTATCAATGTATATCAAAGATACTGCTGCGTGGTCAGAAATGACAATATTATGATATTGACAGTAACACAGTGTATATATATGATCTTATACAGTATTTGGGCTGAGATAAAAAAATAATCAATTCGGGAGTAAGTTTGGTGTGTTGCAGAATAACAAGAATAAGAAATTACAGTCGGATTAAGATGTCTCCATATATCCACTAGGTCAAGCTCTTTCATAAAATGCTGTATCTGCTTCCTAGAGTATCGATGCCAGTAGAACGATCCATTTTTGGATCAAGGGTGCAGTTTATATCCCCTACTATAATATTTTGTCCTTGTAGTGAAGAAACTAATAGAAATATATTACTATAAAACCTGGGGTCATCTTTGTTAGGACCATATATGTTCACTAAATTTATTCTCTGTCAACAGCACCCCTTGAATTATTACAAATCTACCAGCTGAATCCTTAATTATATCCTGCACATGAAAAGGCACAGATTTATGTATCAAAGTTTTAACTCCCCTGGCTTGTGTTGTAAAGCATGCTGAGAAAACTTGCCCATGCCACCGCCTTTCTATTTTCACAACCTCTTCCTTTGTCATGTGCGTCTCTTGTAAGAACACCACTGTTACATGCAATTGCTTAATTCTCTGTATCACCTGTTTAATCTTCTTTAATTTACCCAAACCTCTGCAATTCCACGATAGAACGTTAATTCTACCCACTTGTGACATTATTACGTCAAATATTGCCTTAAAGTACTCCTAATTGTCAAGTAACAGGAAGCCATACAAAAATTAACACAAAAACTTAACACATAACATTGATTCACCCCGCTCAATCCCTACATTTTACCGATAACCCCATATCAGTAACCCCTCCCCCTCGATTAGCTTCTTGAATGGTGTTTCCCCACACACACTACTGTGCAAACCTATTAGACTCTATAAATTGTTATTTGTGTTATTTCAACCGCCATTATTACTTATTACCCACATTTAAAGATATTCTTAACCAAAATATAAATTTGCCTTTATAATGCTATTTCGTCACTATTTACACTGAAAAATTGAAGAGCTAATAATACTTGTGTATCTTACAAATAACAATTAAACTAAATACATAATGAAAAAATAATTATACAAATAATCAGCATGTTTCAAAATCAACCTACATTTTTCTGTAGTTTTGCAGTTCACAAAACAAAATAATGCCCTCTTCTGTTCATCAAACATGTCCATTTATCCAATACGTCTTCAACTCGTCATACTGTAGGCCTGTGTTTTGTATCAATCAGTTTTATTAATTTGATTTTTTTTTTATTATAATTTGTGGGCACTTTAACAAAAAATATAAACTAAACTTCTCGACCAATACTTGTTCGCTTCTTGAGAAATTCCGTTTACATAGGCTACTACTCCAGAAGTTGCTAGCCATCTTTGTGTTGCAGGTAATTCTCGACTTCTGGGCTATTAAATGTCATCGTACAGTCTCCGTGCGTGAGAAGCAGCCGAGCAGGAAAAAATATTCTGTGCCGATTTATTCCCTTTTCACGTAATCTTTTTCTAACTGCATCGTCGCTCCTCTGCTTTCTGTGGACCTCAGCCGATACATCAGGGAAAAAACTGAGATTGTGATCCTTATATATAATGGATCCCTTCAACCTAGCAGCCTTCAGTACCTGCTCTTTCAGCTTGAAATTAAGGAACTTCATGACTATTGTTTTCGGTGGCACTTTACCATCCTGCCTTCTACGGCCCTGACTAGAGCTGGGTATCCGATGTGCTCTCTCTATGATTAATGAAGTGTTGGATGGATCCATCTCCAAAATCTCTGGCAGCCACTTTTCCAAAAAATTACATGCATCCGTTCCCTCCTCCTTATCTGGAAGACCGACCAATCTGAGATTATTCCTCTGACTTCTACACTCCAAATCATCCACTTTATCCGACAGCGATTTCACCTGCGTTTCCAATGACTCAACTCTAGTCTGTAATTGAATGATCCGTTCCTCTGCTTCCGTCATTCTCTTTGTAACCTCCGTAACCGCTGAAAAAAACTTGTCGATCTTATTGCCGACTCGCTCTTCCATCCCTTTAAATGCTTCCATTATATCGGCATTACTAGGATTCTTAACAACCACGACCTCTCCACCATCTTCTTCCCCAGTCTCGTCATGTTGTTCATTAGAACTGTCAGGGTCTGAGGGCACGGTTTGCGTTTCAATGTCCAATTTCAATGATTTTTTATCTTCTTCTTTGACGGCATTTTGCAACGGTTCAAATATAAATCTCACACGTGTTAATAAGTGTTATGTGTGGGTTTGAAAACAAATAAATGACTAATAAAGCAGCAGGGTTTGAAACCTTGACCTCACTCCAACGCCATAACCAGTCGCCATGATGAGCTTTTGGAAGTTATGGATCGCGCCAAAGCGGGCAAAGAAAGTGACATCGCGAGGTCGTCTGGATGAGCGTTATCTTTCTGGCCATAACCCTCCAGTTCAGGTGAGCCTTCCTTTTCTTCCTGATCTCCATACAGAGATCGAGAAGGAATGGAAGAGGCCATTTTCCTCACGCATCCATTGATTCCAACATACGAGTTATGCCAAAATTGAGGCGATGCGCGAAAACGGCTATGAGAAGATGCCCCCTGTAGAAGAGAACGCTGGCCAGCTATCTACGGGTGAGACGTCTTCTCTTAAAACTCCCTCCTTGCCATCTGAGCCCCTTCAGATTACCTCTCGCTTGAATGACAGGGCATACGCAGCAGCAGGTCAGGCTGTCGCTTCGTTGCACATGATGGCGGTGCTCCAGGCATATCAGGCTCACCTGCTGAAAGACCTGGATAAAGGCGAGGGCCTTTCTCCTGATGAGGTAGCTGAGTTGCGCCGCACCACGGATCTCGCTCTCCGTGCTACTAAGCAGGCCGCCTCTGCTATGGGCAGGTCCTATGGTAGTGACGGAGAGACATATGTGGGTGAACCTGGCAGATATCTGGAAGAAAGAGAGGGGCTTTCTTCTCGATGCTCCGGTTTCGCCTTCCGAACTTTTTGGTACCTCCATTATCTTAATAGAGGTACCAAAAACCTAGAGAAGTTCAGGGAGGCGAAGGCGCGCTCAGCGGCCTTCAAATCCTTCATTCCACGAAGGTCCAGGTCTGAGCCCGAACAACCCAGGAGTCCTGGCCCGTCTCGGTTTGAGGATCAGAGATGGGCACAGAAGGCTAGTGTCGCGGCTCGCGCTCCTCCCCCGCCTGCGGGTAGGGGTAGGAGGAATCGCGGGTCAAAGGGAGGTAGGCAAGACCTAAGGGATGTGATCCAGACAAGGCGTCAGCGCTTTCGTCCAGATCAGAGTGATACTTGAGTATCCACTAATTTCCTTCGGGGGTTTTACATCTGCCCTTATCTTCCCTTTCCTAATTCCCCTGTAACCACCATCTCTTCACCTGACCGAGGTTAGGTGGGAACTTCCTGCTATACTAACTTTCCGTACCCACTGTATATATATATATATATATATATGTATATATGTGTGTGTGTGTGTGTGTGTATTTAATGCGCTGGTGGTTGTGTGATCATCAGGCCCCCGGCACGGCACTGCAGAATTTCCTGGACGTCCGAGCTGGGCTTATGCTTTCAGGCTGCCCTGTCTGGTATACCGTATCTAGGTCGCCATTTGCGAGAACTTTCTTGTGAATGCTGTCTCAGGCAGTGCTCCCCTCGCCTTAGAGGGTTGCATTTGAGCTTGCCTCTCCCGTTTGGCTCAGTACTTCTGGGTATCTGTGAACAGATGCTTGGAAAACTCTTAAATCCATATTATGATAAGTGCACACGTAAAGCTTTGCACACTTTCTAAAATCCACATAGTGGTACGTGTACACGTTATGCTGTGCGCACTTTTCTGAAATCCTGTATGGTAAGAGTTACGCATTATTAGCCTCGTTCCCTTTCTCTGAGTTGGTTTAGACCCCGGTACATTGGGCTCCACTCAACCAGTGTGTCTCTGTCGACACACTTTGGAAGCACTTTGGAAGCACTTTGGAACCCTCACCATTGAGGGTTATTATGAGCATGGTGCTTTCTTTCGAGCGTTTGAATTCTCTCCCTTTCTGAGGAGTTGGATTCCTCACTCCGTGGGCTGTTCTCGTGGTAGTGTTTAGCAGTGCTCCCCTTTTATCAATGAGTTACCTATGAGCACACTACTCCTTTCTGAATTCGGAGTTCTCCTTTCACGTGAGAGTTGAGTTCTCTGTTTTCCCAGAGCACCTGGAACCAGCAGCATCAGGCGAACTAGGCCCTTTCTCCGCCTCTCTGATGCGCTGAGTTTTTTGGCTAGCTTGCAGTACGCTTACCCTTCTGATTTCTAACGATCGTGCTGTAGGTCGAGCCCCCTCTTGTTGAGAGCTGGGTGTTTGCTCCTTCAGCTAGAGATTTACTGCTAGCCATTCCAGCATTATACCTTAGATCGAGTTGATGGCTTCTCAAACATAGTGTTTTGGGATGCACCATTTCCATCTATGGCCTGCTCTTTTAGAGTACCACGAGGGCCCCTTAGAACGGTTTTTAAATCCATGTTATGGTAATTGTGCACATAAGTCTTTGTACACTTTCTAAAATCCATACTGTGGTAAGTTCGCACGCTAGTACCCTGCGTTCTTTCTAAAATCCTGTATGGTAAGAGCTACACGCGGCAGCCTCATGCTCTTTCTTGAGTGGTTTAGAACCCCGGTTCCGCCTTGGGCACCACTCCACCTATGTATCCTCTGGATACCTACTTTAACAAGGTGTTGCTACTAGGGGTCTGTTGAGACAGTTCTTTCAGCATATGCAGAGCATGCGGTAGCCCCTGTGTGACAGGCCAAGACATAGTATAATTCTAGGCTCTTGGTCGTATTCCCTTAAAGGAATCTATTCCTGATTCCAAGCCTTGAGCTCTACCCTGGTAAGTTTTTGGGGTATGTAGCCTAGGCCTTTGGCCGCAGGGAATAATGTCACTGACAGCCGTCTTAACGTCTCAGGGGAAACTCCCATGGCTATGGTAGAGTTGGTACTTAGTGCACGCCATGGTTCTGGCATGCACTCCCCTCAGCATGGTGGCGTGGGTATACCATTCCCCATAGCGACCCCTAGAGGACGCAGTGTCTCGTTCCCTACTCAGGGAACCATGGTCCCTCACCATTGAGGGTTATTATGAGCATGGTGCTTTCTTTCGAGCGTTTGAATTCTCTCCCTTTCTGAGGAGTTGGATTCCTCACTCCGTGGGCTGTTCTCGTGGTAGTGTTTAGCAGTGCTCCCCTTTTATCAATGAGTTACCTATGAGCACACTACTCCTTTCTGAATTCGGAGTTCTCCTTTCACGTGAGAGTTGAGTTCTCTGTTTTCCCAGAGCACCTGGAACCAGCAGCATCAGGCGAACTAGGCCCTTTCTCCGCCTCTCTGATGCGCTGAGTTTTTTGGCTAGCTTGCAGTACGCTTACCCTTCTGATTTCTAACGATCGTGCTGTAGGTCGAGCCCCCTCTTGTTGAGAGCTGGGTGTTTGCTCCTTCAGCTAGAGATTTACTGCTAGCCATTCCAGCATTATACCTTAGATCGAGTTGATGGCTTCTCAAACATAGTGTTTTGGGATGCACCATTTCCATCTATGGCCTGCTCTTTTAGAGTACCACGAGGGCCCCTTAGAACGGTTTTTAAATCCATGTTATGGTAATTGTGCACATAAGTCTTTGTACACTTTCTAAAATCCATACTGTGGTAAGTTCGCACGCTAGTACCCTGCGTTCTTTCTAAAATCCTGTATGGTAAGAGCTACACGCGGCAGCCTCATGCTCTTTCTTGAGTGGTTTAGAACCCCGGTTCCGCCTTGGGCACCACTCCACCTATGTATCCTCTGGATACCTACTTTAACAAGGTGTTGCTACTAGGGGTCTGTTGAGACAGTTCTTTCAGCATATGCAGAGCATGCGGTAGCCCCTGTGTGACAGGCCAAGACATAGTATAATTCTAGGCTCTTGGTCGTATTCCCTTAAAGGAATCTATTCCTGATTCCAAGCCTTGAGCTCTACCCTGGTAAGTTTTTGGGGTATGTAGCCTAGGCCTTTGGCCGCAGGGAATAATGTCACTGACAGCCGTCTTAACGTCTCAGGGGAAACTCCCATGGCTATGGTAGAGTTGGTACTTAGTGCACGCCATGGTTCTGGCATGCACTCCCCTCAGCATGGTGGCGTGGGTATACCATTCCCCATAGCGACCCCTAGAGGACGCAGTGTCTCGTTCCCTACTCAGGGAACCATGGTTACATAGGTAACCTGAGACATGTCTCTGTTTACTTCAGCACATGCTGTCTTGTTATTGTTCTTTTGCACATGCACATCTTCAAGAATCAGCTAAAAACACATCTCTTCCATATTTATTTGACCCTCTAACTCTAGCACTCTCCATTCTAATTCTATTCTTTATAAAAAAAATAAAAAATAAACACTTTCCCCTTTTAGACTTGCAATCTATTTACTAACTGCTTGTTTTCTTTAAAAAAAATAAAATAACAATCGCTTCTCTAATCTTTTTCCATTCTATCTATTTGTTTTCTTTTTATTTATTATGCAATTAACAAAAGTAAAAAAGGCCTATAACACTAGCTTGCTCTATTCTGTTTCTATTCTGTCTGTTTTCTTTTTATTTATCATATGATAAAAAAAAAACTTGCTATGTGTACTGCGTTAAGTTAACTGCTAAAAACACATCTCTTCCATCTTTATTTGACCCTCTAACTCTAGCACTCTCCATTCTAATTCTATTCTTTATAAAAAAAATAAAAAATAAACACTTTCCCCTTTTAGACTTGCAATCTATTTACTAACTGCTTGTTTTCTTTAAAAAAAATAAAATAACAATCGCTTCTCTAATCTTTTTCCATTCTATCTATTTGTTTTCTTTTTATTTATTATGCAATTAACAAAAGTAAAAAAGGCCTATAACACTAGCTTGCTCTATTCTGTTTCTATTCTGTCTGTTTTCTTTTTATTTATCATATGATAAAAAAAAAACTTGCTATGTGTACTGCGTTAAGTTAACTGCCATTCCAGCATTATACCTTAGATCGAGTTGATGACTTCTCAAACATAGTGTTTTGGGATGCACCATTTCCATCTATGGCCTGGACTTGTTATAGCCATCTATGGCTACGGACTTGTTATAGCACTTGCATATCATTGCTATTTTTTTTATTTTGATTGCTTCCATTGTCCTCATTTGTAAGTCGCTTTGGATAAAAGCATCTGCTAAATGTAATGTAATGTAAACATGCAGGGCAGTTCACTCAATTCTTTTGACAGCATAGTCTTATAGTTGCTTTGTGCATCATTTGGTGAAGATTGGATGAACAACCTAAGAGGAGTTTGAAAAAGTAGGCCCTTACATGTTCTTGACAATGTTCATGAGATTTACACCTACAATGACTGTTAAACAGCCATAATTTTTTATTCATAAGTGTAATGCCTTTCACTTGAGCACCTAAATTCCCTGTTCCTAGTTCTGGTCAGTAACAGTGTTGGCATGGTTCTTTTCTCTCACAGCTTTTTGGTCAGGATCCTCAGAGCTGGACACAGCAGTTCAGAGAGGCCAGTACCGTTGAGACCAGCAGCCAGAGATCATGAACACCTTATGATGTGCATTTACGGGTATTAGCCATATTTAAATAGACCTCCTTAAACCCTGAACTGAGGTTCATTGTTCAAACAAAAACATGCTTTAATACTAAACAGTTTTTTGGAGTTACATTGTTTTGTCTAAATATATTTTAGACTTGTAATTTTTCATTTTAATTGCAATATTTCTTGTGTTTGTAAATAAAGTTATTTTACAATTCTCTTGTTGACAGTGTTCTCTTGCAGAAGTATGTTATGGTGTAGAAGCAGTGTTGGGAAGGTTACTTTGGAAATGTAATAGGTTACAGATTACAAGTTACACTATTTAAAATGTAATAGTAGTGTAACTTTTTTAATTACTTTATTAATGTAACTGATTACTTTTGATTACTTTTTGATTACTTTTCTACATTTCTAATGAATGTTTATTTGCAACTGTTAATCATTTTCAAACATTTACGCCATGCAGGGTTAACCTTACAGTAGGGCTCAACCCTGTCAGACTTTCAAAATCCTTCATCACTTGAATTAAGATGATCAAATTTGAACACATCCACCACATATCAGACTTTAGTACCGACTTTTACTTTGAGATTGATCTTAAGTTCAATGCAGATATAAAATCATAAGAAATAGTTAATAGATAAGAAATATTTGCATAACTACAGGAAACACTGCGTCTAACAATGGTTTGGGGAAAAAAGTTAATTAAAAAATAATAAATAAAAGCATATACATCAACTCAAATACGGTTATCTAATAAGCATGTGTCCTATTCTGTGTACTAAACTCCTGAAACATTGGTGTCTCTTTGTATATGATATGACGATAGTTTTCTCAAAATAAGTCAAATGCTCATGAAGTGACTCTGAGCAGTTCTAGAGATTATGTTTATGTGTTCATGTACTCATATTTTATATATAAATGATATATAAAAATTATATATTAATTTCCACGAGGGGCAGACGGAAAAAAAATTCATTCCGGGAAATCTCTCACACATACACCCACAACAAATTCTGAAACATAGACAACCCTATTTTTTGTATGGACCTCACATAAAAAAAAAACTTTAAATCCTTAGGTTGGGGACATGCTAAATAATTAAAAGTTCTCTCCTGAACTGCACCTTCTCTTCCCGTTTTCTTTTCGGTCTCTTTATTTTGCCCTGATATCTCTCTCATGACTTTAATACTCAAAATGTACTGTTTTTTTTTTTTTTGCAAATGGATTACCATTTGTATTTATTATTACTACAACTGCCATGGTTAAACTATGGTTAGTGTAGCAAAAACCATCGTTTAACAATAGTAACCATTGTCTTTGGATTTATAGTAAAATCATTGTTAATGTAATGAGGTTGTGTTGTTGTCTGCTCTAGCTCCCCCTAAACCTATTATAAAATATGATTATTTGTCTGCTAAATTACTACTGTAACATTACAATAGATAATTATGTTTATACAATATTTTGAGTGATGACTGATGAGCTGATGCAGCATTTAAATCTGTAAAGCAGTGGTCGGCAACAGGCGGCCCGCCAGCAATAATATCTGGCCCGCGCACGCAGCCAGATTATTTTGATAGTGGCTGATTCTGAAATAGATCTGTCATGACAGCAACAGTTACTCACAATCAAGAGTATGTGAGCGGAGTGGAGATGTGTGATTTTGAATGGAGCGTGGAGCTGATTTTTTAAAAGTCGGAGCGTCGTGGTTTTCATTCGCTCCTGTTGTGAAGTTTTACTCAAAAATATGTGTTAATAATTACAATCAATATACTAATCAATATGGTGATTGTTTAATGATTATTTCAACAATTGGATGTCTTAAAATAGGCTGTGAGTCTTAGGTGCCCCCTACTGGGCAAGTATGGTGCTTTCCATTGGGCAGCGCCAATGAACTAGAGCAGGGGTGCCCAAACTCGGTCCTGGAGAGTTTAGCTCCAGCTTGCCTCAACACACCTGCCTGGAAGTTTCTAGTATGCCTAGTAAGACTTTGATTAGCTGCTTCAGGTGTGTTTGATTAGGGTTGGAACTTAACTCTGCAGGACACCGGCACTCCAGGACCGAGTTTGGGCACCCCTGAACTAGAGTAAACTATTGAACTTTGGGTGACTTCCAAGAATATGTCAAGGATGGCACAAACAAGTATGATGAATGGCCATGAGGACACCTGCATCTAGGAAGTGAGGATGAGATTCATTGTAGCAAAACTAATGGGGTAAGACCAATCATCGTTAATTTTCGTAATGGTTGTGTTGTTGTCTGCCCTAGCTCCCCCTAAACCTATTATAAAATATGATTATTTGTCTGCTAAATTTCTCCTGAAGTCCACGATCATCTCCACAGTTTTGAGCGTGTTAAGCTCCAGGTTGTTAAGATTGCACCTGTCTGTAACATTACAATAGATGATGTTTATACAATATTTTGAGTGATGACTGATGAGCTGATACAGCATTTAAATCTGTAAAGCAGTGGTCGGCAACAGGCGGCCCGCGTTGTCAATTTTTGGTTAAAAAAGACTGATAAGAACCAGGTATAAGTATGGCTGCCTGGACAGACTTGGATGCAGCGACTGTCATCTGGAACTCCTTTTCTTGAGTTTTATTTTACGACTTTGAGAAGACCATTGTTTGCTCCACAACACATTGGCATCACGAACAGGATTGGCCCGAAGCTCGGCGTCGAAGAGGGCCATCGCAGGTGAAGGCCTGGCTGACACGCAAACAAATCAAAAAAGGCGCCTAATAGAGGTATGCAAGTTTTTTTTCTTTTATTAGATATCAGAATCAGAAGAGCTTTATTACCAAGTATGTTTACACACACAAGTAATTTGACTTGACGACAGGAGCTTCCAGTGTAGAAGTACAAAAATAGTGCAGACATACATGATAATGCAGACATACATAGGAATAACACAGTAGGGATGTAATATAACACTAATATAATAAAAAAAAAGAAAAATTATTATATAAAAAATGTACTATATACAGAATTAGAAGTATAGGAAAAAATTTAATTGTTTAGATATGTTTATTAGTGTGCAGATATGTTATTTACAAAGTGTGCAGTTTAATATAAAAGTTTCTGCCTGTAGGTCGGTATTAGATGAACTAAACAGTGATCAGAGAGCCCCAAAGCTGCTCGTGGGACAGAGTGATATGCATCCTTTATTGCTGTGTAACAGTGATCCAAAATAGTGCTGTCTCTGGTGGGACACGTAATGTGCTGCTTGTATTTTGGCAGTTCACGGGAGAGATTTGATTTGTTAAAGTCTCCAAGAATGATTAAAATAGAGTCTGGGTACCTTTGCTCCATTTCAGTTATTTGTTCGGCCAGCTGTTGCATCGCGGCGCTCACGCACGTGTCCGGAGACACGTACACATTCACGAGAATGAAAGAGGAAAACTCCCGTGGCGAGTAGAAAGGGTTACAGTTTATGATGAGTGCCCCTAAATTAGGACAGCATAACTTTTTCAGCGTTGTTACATCTGAACACCAACTTTCGTTGATGTAGAAACACAATCCACCTCCTCTGGTTTTCCCCGGTAACTCCGCGACGCGATCCGCTCTGAACAGCTGGTAGCCCGGCAGATGAAGCGCATTGTCCGGAATGGCTTCACTCAGCCAGGTTTCAGTGAAGCACAGTGCAGCAGAGTTTGAAAAGTCCTTGTTGGTGCGGGTGAGGAGAAGTTGTTCATCCGTTTTGTTAGGAAGGGAACGGACATTCGCGAGATGAATGCTTGGGAGCGCAGTCCGAAAGCCGCGTGCGCGGAGCTTCACCAGGGCGTCGGCGCGTTTCCCTCTTCTGCGTCTGCACGTGCGTTTGAACAACACCGCTGTACCTCCGACTAGAATGTCCAACAAAACGTCAGTATAATCAAAAACCGGAAAAATGTTGTCTGGGGTGTGCTGCTTAATGTTAAGGAGTTCGTCTCTGGTAAAACTTATAGAAGAAGAATGACAAAACACAGAACAAACAAACAAAAACAATAGAAGAATCGCGGAGCTCAGCGTCCTTGCTGCCATTTGCGGCGCCATGCTGGTGGTAGAATAGGATTGTTTGTGTGGTTTGCTTAGTCACGCCTGTAATGGTGATCTAAGACAGGGCTTTACCAAAATCGAATCTAAGAAATTGAGTTTAAATTGAATAAATATAAAGCAAATGTAAAGTAAGTATAAGGAGTTCCAGATTTCAAAAGTTGCGCATGCGGAAGATTGATAAGAAATTTGTGTGCATAAGAGGTGCACATTGCCGAAGAGAGGCATAAAAAGCCTGTGGTTGCCACTTCCCATTCAGGGGTATTTGGGGGAGCCGAGGAGCTGCTTGTAGGTTGGTTAAGCGGGCCTTGGTGGTACCCCCGTGGGAAGGGGGCTGCTTGGGTGGGTATCTGCAGATAAGAAGTGAAACAGTTAGTCTTTGTTTGTCCATTAAATGTTGAGAGAGAAAGATTTGTGTGTGCGCTGATGCATTGAAGCACTAAATGTTTTGCTGAGATATTAACCCTACTGACTGCTTTTGTGTCATGCCTGCAAATAAATGTGCTTGGTATATATGTTTTATGTATATATTTTTTGGTTAAATTGGAATGAAAAATCAGTATAAGTAGTTGTGAGAACAATAAAAGTAAAAATAAATAAATATAAATAATAAATGCATTGAATGGAGAGTAAAGAGTGTATAAGGAGAATTATAAGAGTTGAAAGAACAAAGAATATTCCAAAGAACTGGCTTTGTCGGCTGTTTGGACATCATAAGTTGCCGACGCTATGATCCAAATTGTGAAACACAGTCATTGATAAAGAATAAAAAGTGACTGGTTTTTCGCTTTTGTGATAGATTATGTGAGCCTCTTCTTTGCATTGCACTGAATTAATATGGACTTTGAGATCATTTTTTGCTAGAAGGAGATTTAGGCTAAACAGAGAAGATAGGAGAAGAGAGAATTAAAAAAAGACATTAAGAGAGGGCAAAAGGGGATTTATGAATTAAGTAATTTATTTAAAAATAAAAAAGCAGCAATTAATAAACAAGTAACAATTTTAGTGGATCAGGAAGAAAAAAAGATTAGACCAAGTGGTTAATTGAAAAACCAGCTTGTAGATTAATTCACCCTTCGTTGGGAAAAACAGAGCAGAATCTTTTTATTTTACATCTGACAAGTTAGCTTAAAAGGAATCACATAGCGGGCTGAAAAGGAATCACATTCCTGAATTGCAATAATTACCACCAGAACCTACAATAATTGCAGATTTCTAAATAGGATATATTACTCTATATATTGCAATATAGAATAAGCAAGTAAGCACTGTAGAGGAAAAACTATATACAACCTATTATATTTAGATTTTAATCAGATCTCATTGACAGATCTGGATTAAAATTTGGGCTTAGTTACTATAACAAGACTTAGTGGGGAAGGTGACTAAGAAATCAGTCATAATTAATTAATGGTTTGTCTAACCAAAAAGAAAGAGAGAAGAGGGAAAAAAGGGGGAAGCAAGCCCTGAGAAAAGAGCTGGCAAAGATGGAATTGAGAGAAAGAAACATACAATCAAAGACCACAGTCCCCTCAAACAGTCCTAACAGACGAGAGTGCAAAAACATCTCAAGTACACTGCTCCTTGAGGATGTGCAGAAGGAAGAAGAGCCATGCTGGGAGGGAGGAAAAAAACATAGACTGATGAGATGTACTAGTAGCATGAATGAACCCAGCAAAAACCCAATGCGGTGTCCAATTCTGATCAAGCAAAGGCAAGAACAGTAACTGCCCAGTATAATCAAGACCTTGATGAACTACCTAATTGCTCGCCTTCCCAAAATTCATGAGAGGGCAGAAAAATGGATCAAAGTACTTAAAGAAGAGACAACAGTCAAGCTACTAGTCATGGGAGACATCAGAGCATTGTTAGCTAAATGCCTGGGAGTATCCAAGATGAATGAAATCCTTGGAGGGATGCATCTGCATCAAGTAATTGACAATCGATGGGACCCCATTTGACAAACATCGGGCTGAGATATGGCTTGCTTTGAGAACTGAATACCCAACGCAGATGAACCCAATGTCACTGAAAGGAGTGCCAATTGGTAATACAGAGGATCCAATCATCTACATCCAGAGACAACTGAGACGATGGAAACAAGAACTGGAAAGAGACCCAGAGGATGATACAGTGATGACAGCACTGTTTAGAACCACTATAGTGGATGCTATGCCACCAAGAGTTAAAGTCAATTTGGAAGATGTGGTCGGTCTGAACTCCAAGACACACAAGGAATTCTGTGACCATGTGGCTTATGCTGTGAAACAATACAGGAAGAATGAACAGAAGCTGAAAAGCCAAGACAGAAAGCTACAAAGACTTGAACAATTAACCAGCAAGAAAAAAAAGATTCAAGTTGCAGTCAAATGCAAAGAAGAAGAACAAGCAGCAGTGATGGCTCCTTTACAGGGTTACATGCCTAACCCTGTTGCTCAAAGCACAGCAGCAGTACATGTCCCTGTCATCCAGAATATGACTGCCACTGAAAACATGCTGCAGCCACTGGCAGATTGTCATCTATGCAAGACCAGAAAATACAAACAAAACAAACTGGATGAGACCACAACAAGAGGGGGAAGGACAGAAAGCCTACGAGGGAAAAGACAGAACAATGGCCAACAGAGAGTCAACGGCCTACCAGGAGTGTGCTGGGGATGTAACCAGCCTGGACACAACAGACGAGACTGTCCTACCAACCCATGGAACAAAAAAAAGAAAGCACAAGGTCTAGTAAACTCATGGCATGGACCAGATCAGGGCTTTTAGGACTGCCCAGAAAAAGAGAAAAAAACCTAATGTAGATTGGTTAAGAGGTTTAGGGAAACATTTAGAGAAAACAATTCACAAATGAGACAAATACATAAAAGAGCAACTCCGTAAGTTACGCATGTCAAAAAATAATTTCATTGCACAATAATATATGCTTAAGGTAGGGATCTAGAATTCGAAAATAAAAGGCCAAATGACATAGAAGGACAGGTAGTTCTATTGATTTCACAATACAAAATAATAGGGCCA